GGATTAGTGCACTATGAATGAATGGAGTTGCTATGAGTTTTTTCAGAGTTTGGGGTGTTAGGGCCATGGCACTGAGACCTTCTTCAAAGTACAAGAAAACCTTTCACCTTTTGGCTACCTTTCCTGCCAATTTGATTTTACTGTTGCATTCTTAGGTCTTACCAATACTGGGTGGGATATTTAAAATAGATTAGCTGTTCTGGAACGGCTTCCCATTTGCAGGAGAGTCCATTGTGAAGTGTACATGATGGTTTTTCTCTCATTCTTTCTTCTTCGTCCCGTTACAGAACTATAACTTTTCCTTAGAAGTACATAGTACAGAATTTATTGCTATTTCTATTCTATGTAGACTATTTCTATTCTATTGTATGTTCTATCATTTACTATTTGTCCCTGTACTCAGCACTGGGGAGGCCACAGCTTGAGTACTGGGTTCAGTTTTGGGCACCACAGGATAAGAAAGACCTTGAGGTGCTGGAGCAGGTCCAGAGAAGGGCAATAAAGCTGGTGAAGGGTCTGAGGAACATGGCTTGTGAGGAGCAGCTGAGGGAACTGGGATTGTTCAGTCTGGAGAAGAGGAGGCTGAGGGGAGAGTCTTTATTGCTCTCTGTAAATCCCTGGAAGGAGGTTGTAGAGTGGTGGGTGTTGTTCTCTTCTCCTAAGTAACTAGCAATAGGATGAGAGAAATTGGGCTTAAGTTGTGCCAGGGAAGGTTTGGATTGGATATTAGGAAGTATTTATTTCCTGAGTCATGAGGCATTGTAACAGGCTGCCCAGGAGGTGGTGGAGTCACCATCCCTGGAGGTGTTCAAAGCACATGTAGATGTGACACTTAAGGACATCGTCTAATGGTCATGGTAGTGCTGGGTTGATGGGTGGACATGATGATCTTTGAGGTCTTTTCCAACCTTAATGATTCTATGGTTCTAAATACTATGTCCTATGGGTGGCTGTTACCGAGCAGCCCTAGTAGTTACTCTGAGTTCTTTTCCTTGTGTAGTGAAGAGCTTGAATCTGGACGTGACTCACCTCACACGCCTGTGTTAAAGAAGGTGCTGCAGGAACAAGCCGCTCAGTGCTCAAACCTGCAGGAAGCTGTAAGGTGTTAACTTCAGCTGAAGTACACAGAGCTTGTGGATATGGAAACCAAAGAAGACTGCTGAGCATGCGTGTGATGTTTTTGCCTCCTGCAGGCTGATGATTTGGATACATCCCTGATACACACCCTCCCTCCCCCTCCAACCCTGCCAAATTTTACATCTGAGGTTGTTCCACAACAGAACTATGGAAAGCAAATGCTTTCAGATTTTGTTTGCACATCCTAATACTTTTTTTTTGTTTTGTCCAGAATGACAAGAAACAGTTGATTCTGGGGTTCCAAACCCCCCCTTTTAATTTCAGCCAGTGTGTGTAGGAACAAAAACCTCCAGCCCAGTCCCAAAGTAAAGTTTGGCAAAGCTCTCTCAGCTAAAGATAGCTTCTTTATGAGGGTTTTTTAAGCTTCCTTTATATATGGAAAGCTGTTTGCACCACCTGTTAAAACATTAATAGAAATGAAAGTTTTGAGGAGAAGCAGCTCTCAGGTTGACAGTTCAGGGGGCCCCAGTGCTGCTGAAGTTACTCTGCAGGTTATTTTCTGAATATTGTCAACAGAACCTGTCTCTTTTGTGTGCTCCCAAACACGTGGTTCATGTGCTGGAGCATGTAACCTGGTCCTTGCAGCTTAGGCTCTGTGTCTCATGGCTCAAGAAATGAGCAAAGTAAAAATACCTGAGTTTTGGAGTTTTCTCTCCACGTTTCAGTGTTTTCTTATATGTTCAAATGGCAGATGTGGCAGGCAGTGTTCCACAGCGTTGCTGCTTGCTCTTCCCCATCTTCTCACCCTCTGAAGTTCTAAATGAATTTCAGAAATCTGAAAGTGTTTTTAACATTGACACTATTTGCACTGAATGACTGTTTGCAGCGAAGAGTTTATAATAACTTCATTGAAGTTTCAAGCAGTTTGATGTTCACTCCTCCTTTTTCCCTCCTTCCCCTTTAGTTCCCTCAGCTCTTGCGCATTCTGCACCTGAATGATTTGAGCAGTAAAAGTTGAAAGAAATTACTGTTCTCTAGGAGACACAAATTTTTTCTAAGTCAGTACAGGGTTTCCCACTCCAGTTGAAAGTTGCCAGCAGCTTGTCCAGAAGTTGCCCAGTACCCATCTTTACTGGTGCTGCTCTGTCCCTTGTATGCCCAGTAGCAGCTTGCCAAGCTGACTTGTGCAGCCAGCTCTGGAAGATCGGACTCGAGCAGAGTGTGAGAACCTTCCTAGGAGATAGAGCTTCGCAGGAAAATTTGCACATCTTTCCAGGACCCCCTCACCAAGCTCCTGTTTCAGGAGCCACACCTGGGTAAATGTGCACAGGGCTGAACTCCAGCCCTGCAAACCTGTACGAGACAGGCTTGATGCACCCTGGACCATCTCTTCCTTCTAGTGAAGGCAAGAAAGATGGTTGTGGTGGTGATGGCTGGCTGGCCAGATTTCTGGGCTTCAGTGGGCTGGCCTAGCAGTAAACCTGAAGACAAGAATCAGCCTTAACTTTACTGATATAAGTGCAGGCAGGAGATGAGGAGTCTTAAGAGCTGTACTGTTTTGACTCAATGACTTTTTAAAATAACTGTATTTTCCTTTGATTTGTACAGTTATTCAATTATATAAGGCCTGTACCACTTTAACAGCATCTACTCAAGCCTGTATTTGGCACATTAATGAAATAATCACACACTTAAACACTGCCAGCAATCTGTAGTAACTTTCATGTTTTACAATGGCAGATGTTACTCAGTGGTTGTGGTTTTTTTGAGCGGTATGAACTCGAGTGGAAAATCTTTAAGAGAATTACTTTGCATATAACACTCCTCAAGCTCGTAAATAACGGAACTGGGACCGTAATTTACGGAATTAAATTCATTAATCATGAAATGCAAGATTTAAGCTTCCCAGAATATCAGGTCTTCTGCAAAGAGTGTCATTTACGTTTATTTTATATGTAACAACAGAAAGTCAGCTCCACTGTTTACCAAAACCAATAGAAGGTGAAGACAAAAAGCCTCTGTTGTCAAGACCTGGATTTATACTCAAGTCCCAGGGGTGCCTTCAGGTTCTGCAGCACAATTACTCTGCCTGTAGCTACTGCAGGTTTGTGACAGACGAGCAGTCCTATAGCACTTAGGAAAGAAATCAGTGGAAAATAGAGCTGTGAAAATACAGCTCATCACGCTGTCAGGTCTTGACTTTTGGTGGGTGCAGCTGTGTGGTCTCCATTTTAGTGCTCACACTTGATTCTGCTGAAGAGAAAGAGCCAGCTCCGTTAGGCTGAACTCGGAAATAGTCAGATGTTCTTGCACGTCCGAAACATGCTGGGAGGCTATCCCACAATTTATGTATTTTTCTGTCAGAATTGTTCCGTTGGCTCAGGAAGGTTAACTTAGCTTTTAGCTGGAAATTGATCTTAGATGATAGCAAAGGTTTTAGAGACAATTTAGGAACTGTAGCTCAACTATGAAAAAGGGCCTTTTGGTATTTCTGAGCTCCCTCGTACTCAACTGGTTTTCCAGATGGAGAGTTTGATTTCCCAGGCTTTGGCCCTAGTATATTTTGATGTATAAATCTCAAATTTTAATTAAATGTGTGACTAAGTAATCACCCAGTTTTAAAGGACACCATTTAGGGATGAGCTGATTTCTGTTTCATTGGTGGAAATCCAGCTGGTTCTTTCTAGCTTTCCAGAAAATAGCTTGAAAAGTTACAAATTGCAGAGCTTATCCTTTGTACTTCCACTTCTAAGTAATCATAACCTCTTAGGAACTGTATTTTTGCATTAAGCACTGGTAGGAGAGCATACTTTGATATCTGCTTAGTATCAAAAGCAGATTTTTTTTTATATTAAGCTGATATCAAATCTGCTTGAGTAGGTCAGGTTGGTTTCTGTTACTAAAGATCTGCTCACAGGTATTATAAGGACTGAGGTTGCTATCGTGCATGGAAGTGGGTTTTTCTAATTGAGTGAAAATGTTGGGAAGTATTTTCCTTGAACTCTGTACATTGGTCCTCAGGTGGAAGGCAAAAATTCTTTTTTTTTTTGGGCTGATCTTTTTTAATATTTTCAGTGTAATCCTGAACTGGTTTTGGGTTTGCCACTCAGTCTTTTTCATTTTAACTTAAAAACGGAAGTCAGCTACTGGAATGTGTTTTGTGGAGCCAAAGCATTGCATCTGTTGCTGCAAGTCAACAGGAAATGCCCAGGCCCCATTTGGCATTAGAAAACAGGTTTTAATAAAGAAACAGCCATTGGAGGGGTTGTCTTAAATACTTTTATGTACTAATTTTTGAGCTCTGAATAGTTTTCCCCAAGTTTCCTCACACACATGCAACTTACATTGTATGGTTCAGAAACATGTTTTTACACTGAAGCATCCAAACAATTTACGGCTGTGCCTGTGACCCCCCCCGGGCCAGGCTCTGTTCTAGGGTTCCCTGCAGTAGCTCACATTGTCCAGAGCTGCACTTTTGTGTTGCTAAGCTCACTGTTCACATTATCCAAACTAGACTTTGACATGAGACCTGAAGTTTTACACTTAGAAACCTTTATTGTATGCGTTTTCATGAAAAATAGTGTGAGTTGCACTTTTCTAACAGCTCTGTGTTTATCTCTGACTTGCTTTGTCTTGTATTTCTGGTTCTTTCAGCATCACCTGCATTGTAAAAATGTTGCTATCTTTGGGGGGGGGTCAGGTGGGCACAGTCCCAATACTGAACTGTGCTTTATGGGACACAGTGGTCTGACTTGCACCCTATACTTTCTGTAAAACAAAACAAAAAACCCCACCCCAAACTCTTAGCACTCAATCACCCAAAGAAGGCTATATTTAATTTCTGGAGATACATATATAGATATATAAAAACCTGTGGCTTTGGTTATATTGTTTCATATTTTAATTTTCTTTCCTCTCCCCAGGGCCGATTACTGGAAATCTCAGCCAAAGAAGTTCTGCGATTACTGCAAGTGCTGGATAGCAGACAACAGACCTGTACGGTGCTCTACAGTGCTGTGCTGATGGTTTTGAAATACCATGAGTTTGAATTACAGGCTTTTAACATTGCTTTTGATACTAATCTATTGGTGCATGAAATTAGTTTTTAAAAAACACCTTTGTAGTACTTGTGTTGTTTAAACTATACTGTGTGAGAGTGAGATACCTGCACACAAGATGGCGTATGCAGTTCTGCTTGGCGGTACTACTAAGAACTGAAATATCTGACCCTGCTTTTTCTTCAAGTTCTGTAACTTCACATTTAATCTGTCTTGAAACGTTGTGTGTGCCTGTTCCTGGCCTTCACATGCAAGTAGAAAGCAAAAAACCTTTCATGCATACTGTTTATATATGGTAGGCCTGGTACAGCCAGCATTCTAAGCAATTAAAGCAGGTTTCTTTCATTTCACACAGCCCACAGAAATGTTACTGGGTTACAGAAAGGTGTTTCTGACTAGCAGATGCCTTTTTTCAGACTCCTAGACAAATTGGTTTCTTACTTATTACTAAGTTCTGCATTCCTGACTCAATGCCAGGGGTACTTCTGGAGCTGAGTTTCATCTTAGTTACATACCTGTAGTTCAGAATGACAAGCGTGAGCTCATTGGTTTAGGTTTCTTGTTGCAGCCAGTGAAGAGAAATACACATTTAAGGCAGGGATTTGGGAAACTGATAAAGTCATTTCCTGGATCTGCATCTTCTGCACATCAGGTCGTGCAAAGGAATTCTGGGGTTACTAGGTCAGGCTTAGATGCTTAACATCTGAACACCTAAATGAGCTCAGATGCTTTTTGTGATTACCACATGAGGACTTCCACTGTTGTACTTGTAGAGCTTCTGAACTCCCTCCAGTTCCTACTGGCTTCAGTCTTTATGGCAAGTTTTTGGCTTGGGAGCTGTTCTGTTCTTGGTTATCCAACTCTCAAATTTCATCTTCCTCCCACCACCCTCATTTGTGGACCTGCAGACTAGTTTAAGTTAATGGGATATTTGTGGAGTGTAGCAGAATCTAATTAAGGACTGTAGCTAATATTTGGAATGCTAATTAAGACTTTTAACATTTGCATGGAAACAGAGGATAGAAAAAAAATCAAGGGATGGTACTTAGAAAGATAGCAGGAAGGGGGAGTCCCCTGTTACTTGCTAATATGTGTTCTAAACAGTACTATTTGAAAAATTTTAGATCTAATAAATACAGACTATGACATTTTGTGATATCATTTTGAAGTGTCACTGATTTTTCATAATTTGTTGAGTGATCTCAATGTTTCTAAATTCTGATTGTTAGCCATTTTATAGCTGTAGTTTGCTGTGTTTTCAGAACAGGTTACATTTAGGCTTGTTCAACTAAGTTTAATCTGACTAAATTCTAACTAATTAACTAAATTTAAAATGCATAGTATGTATTATTTTTGTTGGTTTTTATTTTTTTTGCTTTGAAGAGCATTGACTTTCATGAAAGAGGAAAGAATCATAAAGAAAATGTGGCGAAAAGAATTAGTGAGGTAACTCAAATATCTTACTTGCACAAATACTTATTTTTAATCTCCTTCATTATCAGATTTATTTAATTAATTCTCTTGGGTTTTTTATTTTGGTTTAGATTAAACAGAAAAGTTTGGAAAAAGCAAAAGAAGAAGAAAACATGTCAAAAGAATTTGCAGCAATGGAGGAGGCTGCAATGAAAGCTTATCAAGAGGATTTGAAAAGGCTTGGAATTAAGCCAGGTAGTTTATATAGCTGCCAAAAGTTTAAAGACAGAGTTGAAAGAATATTGAATAGGAAAGGTTTCATTTTTGTTGTTTTGGTTTTTTGTGGTTGGTTTGTTTGTTTGTTTTGGGGTTTTTTTGGGTTTTTTTGGTTGTTTTTTTTTTTTATTATTATTTTTTTGTAAATTAGGTTTAGAAGTATAAGGGACTCCAGTCCTCCAGGACTGTATTTGCTTGGGGGGGGGTAAAAAAAAAAAGTGAAAATTGCCAGTAGCAGATATCCCCTGGTCCATGGAACAACCCATTTTGGAGTAGAAAAATTAAACAATGTGATAAAAAATAGGCTGTAGTTAGTGTTTTGGATCAGCAGTGCAGCTTCCCATAGTTAATTTTATGTTTTAATTTTGCCATTTGGAGACAAAAGTTCCTTTATCCTTGCAAGAGTTTGTCGTTTCAAGCTCCTGTAGAAGCTCTATTTTTCTAAGTCTTTTAGTTTCTATAGTGACAAGTGGAGTTCCTCAGGGGTCTGTTCTGCGTCCAGTGCTGTTTGACATCTTTGTCAGTGACATGGAGGGTGGCACTGAGTGCTCCCTCAGCAAGTTTGCCCATGACACGAAGCTGTGTGGTGTGGTGGACTCACTTGAGGGAAGGGAGACCATCCAGGGGGACCTTGACAGGCTTGAGAAATGGTCAATGCAAACTGTGTGAGGTTCAACAAGTGAAAGTGCAAGGTCCTGCACCTGGGTCACACCAGTCCCAGGCACAGTGACAAACTGGGTACAGAGCTGGTTGAGAGCAGGACTTGAGGCTGTTGATTGATGAGAAGCTCAGCAAGAGCTGGCAGTGCGCTCGTGCAGCCCCAGAGGCCAGCTGCATCCTGGGGTGCATCAAGAGGGATGTGGCCAGCAGATCAAGGGAGGTGATTCTTTCCCTTTACTCTGCTCTTGTGAGACCACACCTCTAATACTGCATCCAGTTCTGGTGTCCCCACCATAGAAGGGGCCTAGATCTGTTGGAATGAGTCCAGAGGAGGCCACAAAGATGACCCAGGGGCTGAAGCATTTCTGCTGTGAAGATAGGCTGAGGGCACTGGGATTGTTCAGGCCGGTGAAGACTCTGGGGAGACCATATAACTGCCTTCCAGTACCTGAAGGGAAACTCCACAAAGGCTGGAGAGGGACTTTCCACAAGTGTGTGCAGTGACAGGACAAGGGGAAATGGTTTTAAACTGAAGGAGGGTAGGTTTAGACTAGATCTTAGGAAGAAGTTCTTCAGTATGAAGGTGATGAGACTATGGAACAGATTGCCCAGAGAGCCTGTGGATGCCCCCTCCCTGGAGGTGTTCAAGGCCATGTTCAATGAGGTCTTGAGCATCCTAATCTAGTTGAGAGGCATCCCTGCCCATGGCAGGGAGGTTGGATTAGGTGATCTCTAGGGTCCCTTCTGAGCTAAACCATTCTATGATTCTTTTTTATTGTTGTTTAGTTAGAGCTCATTGGTCCTTATGTTTTTTTTCTTTATGTTACTTATCTTTTGATATTTGATCTTGCTTAGGAGTCTGAACTATTATTGCTACAATGCAAGATTCTTTTATCTGCTATGACTAATACTAATGAGTGACAATACTCATAAGAACAAAACTTTCTATTTGCTGTTGCTCAAGAGTGACTAACATTTAAGCTCAGATTATTACTTTTTATTTAAGAGGGAGTATTGTTTTCTTTAAGATGATGTAGGTCCCAGTTTGACGCAGACTAAAACACAGAGCAACACAGTAGAAACTAAAGCAAAGAAAGAAAAGAAAGAGAAGAAGGAGAAGAAGGAAAAGAAAGAGAAGAAAAAAAAGACATCTCAGGACACCACAATGTCATCAAAAATTGAAACAAAGGAGTGGGTGCAAGGACTTTCTCCTGAAGGCTATACGTATTACTACAACACAAAAACAGGAGGTAAAAACTAGATGTAGTTGTTGGATATAAATGAGAAAATTTCACCTGCATTGCTTTACTGTTCTACTTTCTCAGTAATAAGCTGATTATTAAAATGTGAACAATTAGATGGAGTTTTGATAATTAAAAATCTAGATTTAGACATCCAGAAATTCAGACTGGTTTTGCTGAAAACTAATTCCTTTTTTTTCTGGAAATGTGTAGTCTTTCAGAGGTTAAGTTTAGAAAAGATAGCTGTGTTCTTCCTAAAGAAGCTTTCTGATCAGGAATGTGAAATAAATTGATTGTGCCCAGATATATGAGAGCAGATATGGATTGCTTTCTGATTGTTTCTTTCCCCATTTACATTATTTATCTGCCTGACTTCTGTTGAATGTTATTCTGTCATGATCTACTTGAAAGCATAAAAGCTCTTTTGTGATTAATGAGACTAATGCAAAGTGTTTCTAAAAAATTTAAGGATTGACATTAGTATTTACCATAGTCTTTCCTCGTCCTCGTCCAAGGTAATTTACAAAAGGTGAAAATCTTGTATGTTTAGTTTCTTGTGGCCTATGCTGCCATAAAAAAAAAAAAAAAAGGAATGCCACCTTTTTTTGTATCAAAATTCCAGTACATGTGTATCAGCCATAGTTTAATAGAGTCTGGAAGATGATTAGTCCACCAGCTTGCAATTATGGTACTTTGGTTTATTATTCATACCATGGTTTGGTCAAGGACAATTTATCCTCCAGTAAGTTGTATCTGTATTACTTGTTTGTATGTGTGCACACATCAGTGTCATACCCTTTAGATCTGTTTTTTCTAAAGTTTATTAGAAAAATGAATGATGGGTAAAATATGTTTTTGCTTTTTAAGAATCACAGTGGGAGAAACCTAAAGGATTCCAAGGGAACTCACAAACGGTAATGAAATACTCACGCTTTTCTTTGTCCTTGTAAGCACTTATCAGGAATAAGCTCTCTGCAAGTCTCCTGCTTGCAAAAGATACATTGTTTACTCTTGGTAAACTTAGGAAAACAGAACTTGAATACATAGAATGTTTTATGAGACACTTGATGAAAACTGAAATTTAGAAATTTTTTTTCTGACTGATTTATCAAGGGAAGACGTGATCGTGGTGGTTGTATTTTTACAGAATATGCTTTTTTGATGCCTCAGCTCATAGAATTGAGAGGTTTTGTGAAATTCTGAATAAATTCAGTTAAATCTTTTGTGATTGAAGCGTAATTTAAAAATTAAATCTTACACATTTGAAATAGTTAAGACTTATCTTAGGAAACAATGAGACTGTATTGTCAGTTAAAAAAAAAAAAGTGCCTCTTTTTTGTGTTTGCTTTAGGAGACAGTTATATGATAATTGTCTTTTTCCTAGGTTTCTTACAGTCATGGAACCTATGTGCAAGCAGCCTTTTGGTATTACTTGATTTTCCTTATTTTAGCCACAGGAAAACTTGCCAAATAGTCCAAAGACAAAGATTTTTTTTATTATTAATAATGGGCTTTTCACTGATACTTCCCCCTACAGGATTTCTGTCCTCCACAACACTAAAAATAGGATTTTTACAACGCTCCTGTGAATTGATGTTACATTTCCCATTTTCAAGATAGGTGTCATATGTGCAGTATGATTTAAAGTCAGGGGTTTTTGCTAATGTTGGATTTTTATGTTGGAGATCAAAAACCCCTGGCTTTTTTCAGAGTGCTTGACATTCTGTGGCTCTGTAGTGTCATATCTCAGAAGGTAGCTTATACTTAGTACTGGTTTACTTACAGGCAGAGGAGAAAATGGTTATAATTTTGTATATTTTTAGGAAATTGCATCGATTCACAAAGTGTACTTGCAGTCTTCCCTGTGTTCCCTCTCTCGTTGAGGCAGTGGTTCACTCAGAAGTGCAGGCACTTCCATCCAGTGGTCATTCCCAGGAGACTGCACACTTCACGCTGGAGATGCCCATCACATGGGCGCTCTGGCTTTCTGACTCCTGCAGTTTTGCACAACTTATTAACCAGCACTTCAGCTTTATCTTTTCAGTCAAGGCATAGATTTGCAGTGTTTATAAGCCAGTCTTACTGTAGCCTTCCACTGAAAGAGGTGGTCCCGTGGCTTATCTTCTATGATCCGTTGTGTGTCTTTGTCCTGACCGTGAGTTCAGGGAGTGAAGACGTGGGGGTTTACGTTAATACTTCATAGGCTGACTTCCTTGCCACCAGCTCTCTGGGTCATCAGAGAAATGCTGGTGCAGGGAGAGTAGATAGAGGAGAGAAGGAACTCCCTTCCTGGCAACAGTTTGAAGTCGGCTCATCTCAGCTCTATCAGAAACACACACCTTCAGCCTCAGATATCTCTCCAGTGCCACATGGCTCTATTTTGATGTTCCTCCCTCACCCTGCTCAGTAACTTTGTGGTATCTTGAGTTATTTTCGCTATTGCTAAAAACAAGCATTTGATTGCTCCCTTATTTAGTCTGAGCTAAAGATATTTGGAACATTCCAGATCTCTAAGAAGTACTCCCTGCCCAGAAATTAAAGGGCATGCCTGAGACATGTAGTGCAAGTGAGACCCACGGGCTTTCCTAATTTCACAGTACATTAGCATGCTGCTCAGACTTTGTAAGAGGTGGAGAGAAAATGAAAAGGCCTGAAGACAACCTGTGACTTCAGTTAGATTGACATCATGCTTGTTATCCTTTAGGTAGCAGGATACTCAGTGTGCCTAGAGTCAAGTATCTGCTGAAAACCTCTTAAGTACTGGGTCTAAAATGCTCAGGATCTAACAAAAAGTGTAGACTGTACTTAAGACTAGGTTTTCGTTCTTTCTACTTACAGAAAATAAATTTTCCTTACTTATTTTGCTGAAACTGGCACACTAAAACTTTTCAGAGCAAATCCTTGAGGAGACTTGCTTACTGAAGGCTTTCTTGCCTTTGCCTGCTCTGAACCTATGGGTACAATTCTTCCTGTTCATAGAGCAGGTGCAAGAGCTGAAACTTCTGATTTTGTTGTGATTTTATTTAAAAAAAAAACAAAACCAAAACAAAACAAACAAGCCTACACCGTTTTAATAGAGTACTAAGGAAATGTTTAGGTATGTATGAGCAGAAGGCTGTCTATATGTATGTGTGTCTGTGTACACACACACACAGACATTTATTAATACAAAAATAATGTATGGTGAAGCTGCATAGATGCTCTGCCTAATACAGGGGAGCAGATAGTACTTATAGAGCAGTGAAGTAGTTGTATGTGGAATTGTTGATGAAAATCAGGGTCTTAAGGAAGATGTTAAGTGACATTTAGTGACTGATTGCCTAGCTGTGGCCAAGGATGCAAAACAGTTTTATTTTGATTACACATCCACAAAGACATGCCAGCAACTTCTGCCACATTTCGTATGTACT